TTATATACAAAACTTTATTCAAAAATATGTTAAACCAGTATTCCATAATTATGTTTTCGCTCAGTCATTTTCATTCTTTTACATGTTTATATTTAGTTGCTCATGACTATGCCAGTATCAAGGGTTAAATTGGGGTCACTCATGACTCTAAGCATCGTGTTCTCGCAACAGTATTGGCGCAAAAGGATCGGTCCTTCACTTGACGACTAAGGGGTAGTCTCGGGTTGTGACACAAAGCTATTTGGGTATTTGAATTATTGTTCTATTACTTTAGTAATTCCTTGATTCCATGCTTGAATTCATAAAATGAGTTTAATCTAGTTTTCATGTTTGAATTTATGATTTGATAGTGCACGCTTAGATCTAGCTTCTGATCTTTGTGTATTACTCGAAAGAGAATTAGGTTAATAATCATATTTGGCTTTGATTCCTAAATTTGAGACCGAAAGAAGATAATTTAGGTCTACCTTGTTGAATGCTAAACTTGCTAGAAATAGGGGTTTATGTTAAGTTCTTGGATTGCTTTTTTGTTGACTCGATTGAAACCGAAAGGAGATATCGTGATATAACCCTTTGAGACTGAAAGTAGGTTAGGGTTGATTGATGATGATCTAGCCTACCTATGATTGAATAAGCATGTGTTGAATTGCAATGAATCATTGTTGATTGCATTCCGAATTTCTCAGTACACATATATCCCTTGCTTGATATCGTCTTTGCCCAAAACCATCGTTTGGTTACCAAAATCACTTTCAATTTGATAAACTTGTATTTTGTGTGTTTAGATTCAAGCTTGTAGTAATTCATTCTTTGTATTTTTAATTGCCGATAAATAGTTCTCTGTGAGGTTCGACCCCGACTCTTAGTTGGGTATTTTTTTATTGACGACGATCGCTTTGTCACGACCCAAAAATGGACATGATGACACTCGTTTTATCCCACCAAAACAAGTCAGCTTAAAACTCAACCATTACGATAAAGCGCGGAAATAAAATATAAGTAACTTAATAAAATCCCCAAAACCTAGTTGTCACGTGTACAAGCCTCTAAAGTATTAAAATTGATTCAAAAGAAAAATACAAGTCTCAAATGACATTATTTCTATAATAGAACAAGATCATAAAATAGGAGTAAGAAGGTCCGCTGAGATGACAAACAACTACCTCACAAATCTCCAAGAAGCCTCAGAAAAGAAGAGAATGAAAAGTATCACAAAAATCGGGCTCGTAACCTACAAAAATGTAGAAGCAAGGGGTGAGTACCAAACCACACGGTACTCAGCAAGTAAACTTCTAAACATAAGCTAAGGGAATATAATATGGGTTCTCCTTACACCCCATCCGAACCTCCACAACTACAACCTGCATAAAACCAGCCCAACCTAATAGTTCATAGTTTACATAGCACACAGCTCAACAACAACACTCTAACAATTACATATCCTCAACAACAAACTCAATATTTATCAATCACAACTTCCATAGAAATGCATCAATGATAAAGATGTGCAATGCAATGAAATGCAATGTCAAGTATAGTGATGCATGTCTGACCTAACGATACACACCCGAATGTCTCTTAGTCCGGGACCCATGGAGGACATATCTGTCCATGCATCCGTCGCGGCGTGTGACACGGCCCTCGATAATAGTATCCATCGCGGCGCGTCATACGTCCCTCAATATATAATATCCGTCGCGGCGCGCGACTTGTTCCCCGAAATGGTACATCCTCTTTAATTTCTTATTCTTTCTCAATTCACATAACACTTGTCACAATCATGTATCAAAATAATGCAAATGACATGTTCACAATAATGAGGAGATGACCATTTTCATAACATTGCACAATTCACAACAACACAATCATGATACAAAACCAACAATGAATCAATAAGCCTTACAAAATAATTCTCAACACATCACACACCAACAATTAATCACATACTTTTATTACCCTTTTTTCATCGTTAGAATTATTCAACATGGACAAGTCAACCCATCACCAAGTCTCATTACTCCCCAACACATACCACAAGGAAATACACGACTCTATGCACTTAACAAGGGTTTAGAAATCATTTTGCCTCAATTAATCAACGATTCACTCCGGGACTTGAGCCTTCCCTTTTCGTTGAGCTTCCAAACCAATGCAATCTATTCAAGTACATAATCACGATAAGATTTCAAAACTAACGACACTCATATTACTATAGGTTTAGCCTGGACCCAAAAACTCACCTGAATCAATAATCAAGTTCCTAAGTTTCAAGCCTAGGATTAATTCCTAATTTCTCCCAACAATACGATCCTTATAGTTTTCATATAATATAATACATCCAAAATTTAATTACATATACTAATATATAAGAACTTAAATCATAGTCTAATGAACGTAAAAAGAAATAAGTTTAAAACTAAAATCGATACTACCTGTAACCTCTGAAAACGTAGCAACACTTAAATCTTTTACATTCATCTTTACCATTTTTTTTAATGATTACCTATGACTACCTTAAGTCCTTGACCAATCAAAATTAGTCCCTGAAGGTCCATAAAGTCACTCGTCCATCTAATATAATGCCAGCAACTACCTTTGCTTTCAAATCCAACATTATTATAATAACATTACTTTATATAAAGTGATTAATGTATGCCACCAAGGAATTGAAGATTGGTCTAAATGTTTACCTGAAATCTTTCGTCCCTTTTCGTTCGACGCCGCAGGCAAGGTTAGAGTCTTCCTCCGCTTTATTTTCTTTTTAAAATTGATTAGGTAGTAAAAGTGGCAAATTCTACTAATCTATTTTAATATATGTATGGGCCAAAAGGTATAGGGTCTTAAAAAAATATGGAAAAATTACAGAAATCCCACATTTTAGTTTATCTATTATCATTATCCCCTATAAGTTTTACAAATTTCCAAAATCCTTCATTTTTGTGCATCAGATTAGTGTATCATATATAAAATGTACATTAAATTAGTGTATCATGTATAAAATGTAATGTATCTTACTTAACGATTAATGTATCTTGCGCATCATATTAATGTATCAACGCTTATATTATTGTATCCGTTTGAGGGATTATAAACTTTTAAGGGATAAATTGTAATTTTGCCTTAAAAGTATGTGATTTCTGTAATTTGCCCAAAAAGTATTTCAGACTCGGCCCATTGACCACTAACTAAATAAATAAATTATTTAATATATACCCATCAATTAAATAACCGTAGTTATCGAATAGATTAAAATTTTCAAATCAACTTCACCAACTGATCATAAATGACTGGAAATCACAGTCGAAGGGGTAAAACGATAGTTTTTATGATAATTTCCAAAAAAATAATTTTCTGGGTCAGTACACGCTTACTCTTTAAATTTGTTTGGGAGAGTAGTTTGAGCGTTATACAGTTCCTCCTTATGTAGTGGATTACAGATGCATAAGCTATACATAAGATTTCCATCTTTCAACTGGAAAAAAAACATTTATCTTATACATCACTCTAATATAATAAAACCAGATAAGCACCCTGACAATACATACAATAGTAACCCTACTAATAATTTTGCATGGACCTTCTAATCAAAATAACTAATTACTTCACAAACACTTGGTGTCAGAGGTTATTCATTTTCATACAAAGACACCTTAAATATATATCAGGGATTAAAGAACTCGCTTTACATGAGTATGTGGACGTACATCCATCGATGATAACTTATGAGAGATGAAGTGCATTGTTGGCCTTGATTTTGGAGTTTCAAGCAAACAAGAGCATGCTAGCTTGATGATAAAAATCAAAACCTCTTTTACTCTATCTTCAGGATATGGAAGGCGTTCATCCAACAAATCACTAAGCTGCTCATGATCTATAGTCGATGAATTTGCTAGCACGGTAATGTATTCCCCAAGATGCTTTCCTTTGATTATCTCCAAAGATAATACTCCAAAGCTATATACATCACACATTTGCGTAATCTTCATAGTATATGCAAGCTCTGAACAATACAATTTCCAAAACAATATAAACATGTAAATGAGATATAAACAATGGAGTGTTTGGCTTTAGTTCATGAAATATTTTAAAACTTACCAGGTGCAACATAACCATATGTCCCTGCAAGCGTTGTGCAATTGAATGAGTCTGGATTGAGAAGCTTTGATATGCCAAAGTCTGCAACACGAGCTTCATACTCTGAATCAAGCAAAACATTATTGCTTGATATGTCTCGATGAGCAATGGGTGGTGAACAATCCTGGTGCATGTAAGATAAAGCAAAAGCAACACCCTTGATGATATTCACCCTTTTAAACCAATCCAATTTCTTGGACTCAACTTTATCACTCAAAATACTAGACAAACTCCCCCTCTCCACATACTCGTAAACCAAGAGTGAGTGTTGTGCTTTCGAACAATAGCCATAGAGGTTCACAATGTTTCGGTGCTTAATCCCAGTCAATGCCCTTACTTCATTCATGAAGCTTTTGGGATGTGTATTCTGATATGAAGAATGAAGTCTCTTCACGGCTATATTCCCTAATGATAGAAGGTTTACCTTGTAAACGCTTCCGTGTCCTCCTTGGCCGATGCAAAATTTTGCATCAAACTCTTCTGTGGCATTTAAGATGTCCCTGTACAATGCCTTTCCATCTAACATGGATATTGAAAGCCAACCATCACCATCCCTTCTTTCAACGTCTCTAACTCTCCTTCTTTTATTACACATAAAGAGAACACCAATGAAAACACAGAGCAGTAGTAGTGCTCCCATAACAGGAAGTACAGTGATGAGGATGACTTTACGTCCCTTTGCCATTGAGTGCTTCTTCACCACAGAAGATGGTCTATCACAGGGTTGGAGTCCTCTTACATTGCCGCACAGACCTTTGTTACCTTCTAATGAAGCATTCATAAAAGCTTTACTATTGGGGATTGGACCTTCCAACTCATTGTATGACAATACGACATCCTGCAAACCAGCCAAACTTTCAACTTCTTTAGGAAGTCGCCCAGATAGGCCATTGTGGGAAAGGTTTAAGTTTACCAAGACCTTCAAATTGGCTAACTGAGGGGATATATCTCCAACCAAAAGATTATAGCTCAGATCAAGTACATTAAGCTGAGTTATCTTCCCTATCTCCATTGGAATATTTTGGCCAAATTTGTTGTTGCTCAGGTTCAACTGAAACAAGTGTATGTAATCTCCTATAAATGTTGGGATCGACCCATTCAACTTATTGTTTGATAGATCAAGGGATTCTAACTTTGTCATTGATCCAAGTTCCATAGGAATATTGCCAGAAATCTGGTTGTTTTGCAAAAAAAGATTAACTAGAGAGGTCAATTTTCCAAATTCCCAAGGGATCCTCCCAACCAAATGATTTTCTGAAAGATCTAGTCCTTGAAGACCTTTGAGGTTTCCAATCTCTGGTGGTATGTGACCACTAATTCTATTTCTGGCTACTCGAAAATCAGTCAACTTCTTGCATTTCCCCCAGTTGCTACTAAGTTCACCATGAAAATCATTTTTGCTCAAATTAATAAACTGTAGCTCCGAATAGATACCAAAAGCTTCAGATAAATTTCCAGTAAAACTGTTGTTATCAAAGCGAACCCTTTTGAAACTCAAGCACTTGGACATGCTTCTTGGTATAGGCCCTGACAACTTGTTACTATTCACCGTAAAGTTCTCAAGTTTCCCACCTTGGCAAAGATGCTCAGGCAAATGACCTGAAAACTGATTTTCACTTATTATCAGCTCTTCCAAGTTATCCAAATACGCAAGTTCTTTTGGAATAGAACCGGAAAGTTTGTTGGCACTCAGATACAGAAATTGCAAGTTTCTCAAATTGCCAAAGGAAGCGGGAATTGGACCAGTAAGTTTGTTGGCATTGAGATACAAAAATTGCAAGCTTCTCAAATTGCCAAAAGAAGCAGGAATTGGACCAGTAAGTTGATTTTCGTACAAGGACAGACCATTGAGGTTCTTCAAATTACCCAACTCACTAGGTATGGGACCAGATAGTTGGTTAGAAAAAAAGTATAGAAGTTTGAGCTCAGTTAAGTCACCTATAGTAATCGGAATTGAACCAATAAGTTGACTTTTAGATAAATCTATCTCTGTTAGATTTATCAGATTTCCCAACTCACTAGGAATAGGACCAGTAAAATGATTAGTGGATAAATCCAAATCAGTGAGGCTTTTCAAATTTCCCAACTCTCTAGGAATAAAACCAGAAAGTTGGTTAGAAAATAGGTATAGAATTTTGAGCTCAGTTAAGTCACCTATAGTAATCGGAATTGAACCAATAAGTTGACTTTTAGATAAATCTATCTCTGTGAGATTTATCAGCTTCCCCAACTCACTAGGAATAGGACCAGTAAGTTGATTAGTGGATAAATCCAAATAAGCGAGGCTTTTCAAATTTCCCAACTCTCTAGGAATAAAACCAGAATGTTGATTAGAAAAAAAGTATAGAATTTTGAGCTCAGTTAAGTCACCTATAGTAATCGGAATTGAACCAGTAAGTTGACTTTTAGATAAATCTATCTCTATGAGATTTATCAAACTCCCCAACTCACTAGGAATAGGACCAATAAGATGATTAGTGGATAAATCCAAATAAGTGAGGCTTTTCAAATTTCCCAACTCTCTGGGAATAAGACCAGAAAGTTGATTAGAATAAAGGTACAAAGTTTTGAGCTCAGTTAAGTCACCTAGTGTTGTTGGAATTGGACCAGAAAGATTGTTCCTCTCTAAGAGTAAAACCTCAAGTGACTTCATCTTCCCTATTTCCAAAGGAATGAGATCATTTAAATGGTTGTCAAAGATGAAGAGGGTCTCAACCTTTGATAGTAAGCCGATTTGAGGTGGGATTTTGCCTGAAATATGGTTGATCGACAAGTCAAGATAGACAAGATTAGTGAGATTTCCTATTGCAGGAGGTATGCTACCAAAGAGCTGATTCATGCTAAGATCAACATATTCAAGAAACGATAGAGATGAAAATGGAAAATCATGAAGTGTACCAACAACACCAGCATTTGTAATATTCAACTTGTTTACCCGACCATTAAAGCATATAACTCCATACCAATCCCTGCATGCATCACTACTTAGTGTCCATGAAGTCAATAAGGAATTATTTTGCTTAGGAAAGTAGCTTTCCATTTGAGGAGAGCAGTTGCTTCCTCAATGGAAGCAAAAGTAACTGTGAAGAGAGTGAAAAACTGTAGGAAATAAAGTATTCTTGGAAACATCTTGAAAGCTAAAAGATTTCAGTTGTTTGTTTGGTTATTAATGAACTTGTTCAGGGTAAAGTTTTATACTATGTAGAGAATCATTAAAAGTAAGATTATAGTTGTGGAAATATATTCAAAAGTCATTTCTTAATTGACAAGCTACTGGACATGCAATACGAAGAAATTACACAATTTTTAATTCAAATAGCCCGGTTTTTAATTTCTAACGTTTAGCGATCGAACTTACTGCATAAGTTATTAAGATTCAAGTTGGATTTTGCGTTGCTCCAGTAAGCTTAACTATAGTATTTTTCAATGCACATCTAAAGATGACTGACACATGAAGTTATAAACATGAATGATTGAGATTGTTTTTCAACTTATTATCTAATTTTTTATTGTATTATTTTATTAAAAGTAAAATTGCGCCAATTTGCAAGTTACCTTTATTAGTTGGAAAGAGACAGCCGCCTCTCCTTTTTACATTACGTGCCCATCAAAAAATCAAACATTACACTATGTGAACATGGACTAAACTTTATTATCCCATGTGAATCATTTATAAGTTTATGTCAATAAGAAAATCCACAATGTGTACATGGGCTAAATTTACTATCCCATGTGAAGCACTAATAAGTTTATGACAATAAAATAATTAATTAACAAGCCCCTACATCATTAAAAAAAAATAGAATCAAATTAAATTCAATATTAATCCTTCAAGAATCATATTAATGATTTACGAATATTTCAGATTTGTAGATCATGTCTAAACATCAGTATCACTATTTAGACAAAATAAATTTTATGTACATAAATTATTGTATTTATGATAAATATTTCACACAACTCCAGTATATTTAAAACCGTTTTTACATAATTTTATCAACAATTATATATATGGTGCTTTACAAATTATTTTAGAATATCTAAAGATAAGTAAAAGATATGCTAAATTAAGCAGAAGTAACCACCTCCTAAACTAGAGACGTGGGGCGTAAGTCCTATAGATCTTTAAATTTGTAATTTACAATATAGTATAATAATAAAATAACACAAAATTATAAAAATACATCAATAGTTTGAAATAATTACAAACATGATTAAAGAAACTCATAGAAAATAAAGCTTCTAACATGATTATACAAGTATAAATAATCTAATATCTTAACTTTCTAATAATAAAGAACTATTATTTCTAAAAATGTTTTTTTATCATACTATACAATTTATCCCCGAAAGAAATAATTAATAAAACTTACTAGTATTATAATAAAAGTATCACTCCATCATGAATAAAAATATAATTACTTTCAAATAGCTAAATAAAATATGATAATATTGAGACATATTACAAAATCATGAAGACCAATGATAAGTGAAAGTAAAATTTCGCTACGTATTTTTAAAAGAAATGTTACGTAATATAAAATTACCTTCACAGTGTTACGAAATAGTAAAAATGTGATACTGCAACTTGTTATATGAATTTCTCTCAATCTTCTTATCTCTATAGATTAAAAAATTATTACGTACCATTCATTTATTCAAGAATTATGAGGGTTAACAATGTTAACTAATGATTTAACACATAATTTGTATAAGATCTGTTAGGCAAGCCCCGAGTGTTGGACGTTGGACATGCTTAGGGCGTACAGTCGAAAACTTAGAACATAAGTCTTACAGAAATAAGCCCCACACTTGAATCTCGAAACGTTTTGCTAGAGCCCCACCCCAGAACGAGCCCCGAGGCGAGTCTCAACAGATTCTTTTAAAGCACTGCTCATTTCCATATTTTCCTGCAATTTCGTATAAAAAACATAGTTAAATTTACATCATCTGTGCATAATGAAAATGTACAGAAACGGTATGAGAGAAAAATTACTCTCTTCGTTCAAATTTCAAGATTCAAACAAGTCTATCTTTGACCGTAATTTTTTCATAATTCTTTTAAATATTTTGAATTGAAAATTATTGTGACTTATAATACTTTTTACGTAGTTTATAAATATATAAATTTCATTTCAAAATATTTGAAGATTTCATGCGCAAATTATCGGTCAAACTTAAACTGTTTGACTCTCAAAAAATGAAAAGTGTCACATAACTTGGGACAGTGGGAGTAGTTCCTTGGTGAAATACTTTTAAAAGTAAAGCTCCAATTCACTAAAACGTTTACTCCCTCCTCCCGTAATAGTTGTCCATTATACTAAAAATAGTTGTCTAACATTACCTGTTCAATTTAAAAGATCAAAAGATATTTATCTTTTGTGTCTATTTTACCTTTGCTATTAAATATTATTTATCATTTAACACATTTCAATGCATTAAATTTAATAAAGTAAAAAAATAATATAATTATATTACATTTATTATTTATTATTTTTTAAGAGGTGTGCCAAGTTAATTGTGGACAATTATTGTTAGACATAGAGAATCAAAGGAAACGTTAACACAGAAAACAAGACCAACATTTTGGCCAAGAAAGAGTTGTAAACTTAATTGTGATAATCTATTGGTCAACTTCTCTTTTATAAGATACTTCATCTGTCCCTAATTACTTGTCTACTTTATCTTTTTTAGTTGTTCCTAATTATTTGTCCATTTTGACAAATCAAGAAAGGCAATTTTTTAACCTATTATATCCTCAATTAATTACTTTGAAAAATGTAGAGCTTCTTGAAACTCTTAAGTTTTTAATTCATCCACTTCATAATTAATAGGGATAAAATGGTAAACTCACTATGTCAATCATTATTTTCTTAATAGGTGTGTCAATTCAAAAGTGCACAAGTAATTAGGGATAGAGGGAGTATTGCTGAAGGACCATATACTTTTGGACTTCTAAATTCTAATATTAATTGTAATGAAAAGATTTAATGGTTTTCTTTGGAAAAAAAAGTAGTATGAATAAATTCTTGACCTTTAATAGAGAAAATAACCCAAAGTGTTTGAATAGACTTCATTAAGTATTTTCACACGTTTCTCTCTCATTTAAATACTTATCACGTTGATAAAAATTATTATTTTTTAAAAGGTAGATTTACTTTTCAATGTAAGATTAATAATATATCATATAGGAATAAGTATGATGATATGATATGATTATTCCCACTTTTAGTACTTAATATAATGTGATATGATTATTATTTAATATTTTATTAATTATATGTGTTATAAAATATTTAGTGTAGTGATAAAATGGTAGTCTAACTTTAAATCTTGCAGTTTCTCACTTTTAATAATACTAGTTTAGGGAACATGTTTTGCACGTTTATCCCAAAAACTTAATCTAAATATATTGTAAATAACAAATTTCGCACAATATATTATAGGACATAATTATCATAAAATACAAGAATACAATATAAAACAAAACAGGATTGACTAATTCAAGATTCAACCAAGAACTTAAAGCACCATGTCCGATTCCACTGCTACACTGAAATGTACAGTATTAAACTATAGAAGTAGTTTTCTGTTTTGCATAACATATAACAAAATGTGATCTCATAAAACTTACATAAAATATGAAAAAGCTTCACCATTTCAATTAATGGTTTGAGGAAAAAATGAGCAAAGAAAATAAAAGTAGAACTGACAGACGTGAATGAATTGTTACATATCTGTTGATTTGTGTCATTTAATGATGAAAGTAATATACATTCTTGATATTCATTTATATAAGATATTAATGAGAAAATTCAATATAAATTCAGCATTAGTGTTAATTGTTACTAAATGGTGGAAAACAAAAGGTTTGACAACATGTAACAATTATTTAATATTTAATAGAATTTCATTAAGTTACATAACTATTAATTATCTTTAATTAAATTGTCTATATTCATCAGAAATGTGAAATTTTTTCCATGTTATTAACCAATATCATTCTTATTATTACGGTAAACTAAATGTATGCTTGAAAGCAATATGTTAAAGGAAAAATTAAGCTTGCCATAAAAATGATTTTATTCAAAAGTTAACCAATAAATTAACGATATTCATTTTCGATTTATTTTTCCATATTAATCATATGTTATTAACTGGTCACTTTATAACTTGCAAAATGAATATTGTCACTTTATGACTCTTTAGCTTGTAATTAAATTAGGAGGTGAAATGATTGTGAAAATATTTTCATTAATTAATATTTAACTCATTAGATATTTCATAACAATTTGAATTATAATAGGGATAAAATGGTATTTCAACTTTTAACTTTGGGACTTTCCACTTTTAGTATAATAAATAATAAATATAATGATACGATGATTTCTTGAAACAATCTATCAAATCATCAATCAGAAAAATAAAAATAAAGTTCAAAATTTTAAATTAGTGTATCAAACCATTAACCACAAAGACAAAAATGAACTTCAACTAGTAAGTCAAAGTCCATCCTATTCCTGAAACGATTATGGTTCTTCATTCCTTAAATATATGCCTATCAAAAATAAATAATTTTAATACGACGATAAATTAATCCATGACAAAAAAAAATAGAAAGGGACAGTACTAGGTGAATTGATTATCCCATCTCTCTCATGCTAGTTCGACAAGTGACTTGATTATTTCTAAGCAAAATTCAAAGGGAGATAAGTGCTTCTAGGTGGGCTGATTTGGTTGATGAAGAAGAGCAGACCTCACCATAATAATTATTCAATGTTTAGAGATTTAGAGAGCACATCTTAATATTTAGATGTGTAGTCAGATTAAAGCACCTAGATCTTAATATTCAAATGCTTACTCAGATTCAAACGTCCGAATCTTAATGAAAACAACTGAGGCCCAAAACACTTGGTGAATTTCAGCTTTCACGTGAAAGAATTCTATCAGTTACATCGGCTAATCAAAATGAAAAGGAATGTGAGAAAGAACCAACGTTACAAAAAGTTACAAAATCGAAGGGGGCCGATGCAAGTCCCC